ACCTTTATTACTTTTGACATGTAATTCTTCCATGTAGTGTTTTCTTATAATTAAATTCTTTTTATTTTGGTTAAAAAGTTACATGGCCCTTGTTTATAACTGCCAACAGTGGGCCCGAAGCCTCAAAAATTAAAAATTTATTACCGAAAGCGGAGGCAATTTTTTTCTTCGAGCTCTTTTGCGTTAAAAGGAAGAAACCACCTGGTGATATGGAAATTTGATTTGACATCTGGAATTAACCATCTAGGAGTGAAGGAAATCAATGTCCTTGCATTTATTGTAAAGTAATCATGCAGTAAGTAGGAATTGTATTTTATGCAAAGTTAAATTGATTATGATAGTTTAACATAGAGTGAAGCATGTTTAATTTTCTAAATAAAAGAATAATATTTGAGAATAAAAGAAATGGAAAAGAATAATTGAAAATATGTCAAAAAGTCAAAGTCGGAACTGATGAACCAAAGAATAAATGTGGAAATTCTTCAGATCCTAAATAATCTTATAGTCTCAGATCATGGTTAGAGAAGAAACCTAAACACTTTGAAAAACCCGCGAAGAAATGGAGAACTCATCAGAGGCTTGAAGATGAAAATAAGACCTTGGTGATGAGGTGGGAAACGGTTTAAAACTGAAAGGCTCTAGTCTACAACGATGATTGTTCTAGTGAACGTTTTAATACTCTCGAGAATTAGGAGAAGTTAAGGAAAAAAAATTCAAATTTTAGAAAAAGGAAAATAAGTGGATCAAAAATGTTCATTAAGTGCAGTCGTCTAGCAAAAGTAATGAAGAAAAACAAATAGTAATTCCACAGGGCTGTCAAAGTTGCCTTCGAACTATTCTGACATTTCAAAATTTTTACTTTCAAAGTTCCTTTTATAGTAGGGTGGATCTGATATTGTGATTTGGCTTTTAGAATTTGAGAGTCGCTCAAACAGGGGGAAGATCCACCCCTATAAAAACTTTCAAGACTGATTCTGTTTAAGTGAATTTCCATCGTGATGTTTCGGGAATCATTCCCGATTCCATGTTAAATGAATCATCTCGATTCGGAAGTTTTAGGAATCAGCCTGTTTATGTAATGAATCATAACGATTCTGTGAAGTTTGAGTGGAAAACCCTGATTCATGTTAAATGAATCATCCGATTCATTGTGTTTGGAGAATCATCCTGATTCTGTGCAGTTAAATCATCATTTCAAACTCGTCATCAAAGATTCCCGGTTTACTCTTCATAGAGATGAATGTAAAATCTTGCGGACTCTTCGTCGAGACGACCTCAGAGCCTGAGGGGGAGTATAACTAACGCTAAATGGCAACAGTCAAACAAAAATTGAAATATATAACATATGAACCGTTAATTAAAGAGATTCGACACAGATTTTGCATGGAATAACTTTCCTTTATCCAAGAGTATTTGCTTATGTTACTTTATTATTTTGACATGGTAATTTTCCATGTAGTGTTTTCTATAATTATAATTCTTTCTTATTTGCTTGGTAAAATGTAAAGTTTACATGGCCTTGGTATAGATGTAAATGTTTTACGCACACTGGCAATGAATTAGAAACCTTTGAGATTTTCATTTGAATGCGTGCTAGGTATGAAGTACGCAATTTTTTATTTATTTATTAATTTATTTATTTATTTATTTTTATTTATTTTTTATGACGTGGGTTACACGTGGTTAGAATGCTAGTATAAGTAAGGTGTAAGAGTGCTTTTCACGATGAATGAAGTAAAATGGCAAAAACGACAGATCTTTCACCATTTGAAAAAGGACTTATTGTTGGTGCCCGTTTAGCAGGGGCCTCGATTTCGAAGACAGCAAATCTCACTGGGTTCTGAAAAGAAGCTGAATCAAAGGTTTTTAAAAGTTGGAATCAGAACCCACAGTCCTTCTCTAGAAGACGTAACTGCGGTTCGAGTACAGTTTTCCAAGAGAGTGATCGGCCTCGTTTCCGACGAATTGGACGGCAGAACAGCGACTCTACTGTGCTTCAATTGGCACCAGATCGTCAACGAATACTGCTCCCAACAGATTTCAGCTCGAACCATGCGCAAAGAATTGCAGAGGATAGGAATGCATAGTCGGATGCCTGTGAGAAAAACCACTCATTTCTGCCCGACATGCAAGAATTCGTTTGCAGTGGTGTCGGGAAAGAAGACACTGGACATGTGAGATTGGAAACGGGTAATGTGGTCGGATGAATCACGCTACACCTTATTTTGCACTGATGGAAGACTTCAAATTTGGCCAGAACCCCATGAAGGCATAAATCCATCTTGCCTTACTCGCACTGTGCAAGAGTCTGGTGGGAGTATCATGATATGGAGCATATTCTGCTGGCATGGAAGTGGTGCCCTGGTGTTCCTCGAGGGTAAACAAAGAGCCACGAGATATCTAGATATACTGGCAGATCAAGTGCACCCTGCAATGTTGCATTTTTTCCCTGATGGCGACGGATATTTCATGGACGGTAATGCAACTATACATCGTACCAGAAGTGTTCAAAATTGGTTAACTGAACACCAGTCTGACTTCCAACACCTTCCCTGGCTACCGCATAGCCTAGATCTTAACCCCATAGAAAATGTATGGGATATAGTAGAAAGACGCATCTGACAGCACTCTATTCTAATTTAGAAGATCCAAAAAGCTGCATAGCCAATGCATGGTATTCTCTGGACGTAAATGCACTCCAGAAGCATATAGACTTGATTCCCAAACGAATCAGAGCAGTTATCCGTGCAGAAGGTAGTCCAATAAAATGTTGATCCTGGTTTTCTAATTCATTGGCCAGTGTGTGTATTTCTGCCAAAGTTGACCGCACATCGCATTCAAAAAAGACTTGTTGCAAAACTAAAACGCTCATAGCTCATATTTTCAGCATTTTTAAATTTCTATAAACTTCCTTTTTAACTCAATATTTTTAGATTAATTTACAAATATGGTAATTCACGTTAAAATACTTCTGCACAAATTGTTTCAATAATTTTTCAGTAAATAGCCATTAAGCTTTTATTTCTGTCAATATTATATAATTTTGATGAGCAGTTTAAATGGCATCAAATTTCGGAAGCACTTTTCTCAGTTTTACAGAATTATTCTCATGTAATTACAGGAAAAATATTATTTGGATCAATATCATCATTTTTCCTTTGATTTACTTCTATGTTCTACTGAAATTTTTAAACAAAGAAAAATTTATATTAAAAATTTTTTATGTTAAAACTGCTAAATAATTTTAAGCTTTAGATGCTGCTTTACCTTAATTTACATAATTGTTGAAATAATCAATTAGTTCAAAACATATTAAAATAAAATATGGCAGCATTTACTGTATTCTGATTCTTTATAACCGTTAAGTGAGCATATTAACTAACAGAATTGTGTTCTTGTTATTTATTTAAAGCTCCTTTACAGTATTAGAGACAAGAAGCTGCTCTCAAAATTCTAAACATCGTGCATAACAAAATTAAGTTATTTCTTCAGTGTCTTTAAATTAAATAAACACTGCAAAGACTACTGGCCCTCTCAACATGAAAATATTTCTCACAAGAAAAGAGCCTTCAAAATAATTTGCAAGCCAAGAAGTTAAATAAAATTTGTAAGCTGTGTATATGTATTTGGTTGCAATAAAACGCATAGCGATGTATTTTTAGCTACCTAATCATACTATAGTTGCGTTCCACGGGTTCGTGGATTTGCAGTGATTGATGGCCACACTTGATGAAGAATCAAAACACAATTTATGTCATTTTGTCCGTTGTCAGTATTAAACAGGGCAGTTCCAAAAACGGGTTACAGTCGTCTAAAAACTACGACAAACACGGTAAAACAATCAGCAACACAGCCTTCAAGCTATCAGGCTATAACGGTGAAGACAGTTTCACTGCAAAGCACTAAAGTACAGCTCCCGGCTCGGTCGATTGCTCTCGAGCTAATCTCTGAACTTAAGAGACTACTACTGAACTCAAGAACTCAACATACTCTAGATACTCTCACTCCGCATACAGGCAGGGTTTGTATAGCTTCTGGCCTGCCTTCGAGAACATTCCGGGACAAGTCGGTAAGAATTCGTTCTAGAATGTTCTCGCTAATTTCGCGCCAAATCTGGCAACCCTGACTTTCCTTGGCACTTCCTGGTAACCCTAACCCCGCTTTGCAGGAAGCTATCTTACCGCAGCAGGGCATTTCGTAGCACTGTTCATATTCCGCGCGCAAATATTGGCTGATACGATCATCCTCTTTTATCACGTTAGTATGAAAACCTTAAATATAAAATTAATTTCAAAGTAAACAGTCATGCATAACCTTTAATATGATTTTAACAGGTGATGTGGCTGTATTCGAATGTTAGCAGGGTATCAGAATTGGACAAAAAAATTAGGACGTTTAAAATTCATTTTCCAAATCACGATTTAAGTTTAATCACAGACCCAAACTTTTAATAAACAAAATAAATACAAACAAAAAATATGTTCAACATATTTGTGGTTTTAAACTTCCTGTGGCGGTAAAATAGTCAATGAAAGCCTATTATTCAAAATACAGTTTCTACCTTGACCAAATTAAATGGATCAATACAGAAACACTCTGCAGTCAAAAAGTATTTATAATTATTTATTTCCCTGTTGAATCTACAATATAAGTTATCACAGTAAAAGACTTGGAACTGTAATAGCAACTTCTATGCCGGGGGGTCCCCATAAGCGCTAAATTTAATACACATGCCTAACTATCAGAAATGTAATATTTAGCACCGTAGTTATTTTTATTTTATTCGATATCTTTCTCAGAAATCTATTGTTAAAACTTTGATTTTAAAATGTCACAGGTTAACACAGAATAGATGTGTACAAAATGATTTATATACAAAAATAATTAAAATGTAACGAACGGAAAGCTTAACCAATCTTTATGAATACATGAAAAATCACTTCAAAAACACATAACTTATCCCAAAGCATAATAATAATGCTTTTCTCTTCTTTTTGCAGAATCTGCTGACGCAGCGAGGTCTGGAGGTTGCTTCAGTGGAGAATCATTTGTGCAAACTACACAAGGTGTAAGAAAGATGTCAGAACTATTAGTAGGAGATCAAGTGTTAGTCACAAAATCTGATGGTTCGCTGCACTTCAGTAAAGTGATAATGTTCTTGGACAGAGACACTTCTCAAAAAAGACTATACACCAACATAGTGACAGAAAGTGGTGCAAAAATCATATTGACTCCTAGCCACCTTATCTTCATATCTAATGATAAAAGGACAAACGACATTAGGCATGGAACTGCAATTTTTGCAAAGAATGTAGAGCTTGGTCATTACATTTTTGTGAAATCGAACACCACTAACAACGAACTCTATAATGACGGCAAAGTTGTTCTGGAGAAAGTTGTTAGCATATCGGTGACCACAGAGGTGGGCGTTTTCGCCCCATTAACAAGAGAAGGAAATTTAGTAGTGAACAATGTTGTTGCATCCTGTTACGCTGTTTTAAATCATCAGACATTAGCGCACTGGGCGTTTTTACCCGTAAGGATTGTTGATAACTTAATGCAAGCCTCTTTTCATTTTCTACGGAAGTTTCACTTTGTACAGCTCACAGAACACACACCAAAGAGTATAAATAAGCAGCCAAAAGGAATTCATTGGTACCCTAGACTGCTCTATAAAATGTCACATTATTTGTTTTCTGAAAGGTATCTTTATTCATAATGGTGAAAGAAATATCTGTTGAAGAAATGCAACAATTAGGTCTGAACTAAGATCTCATAGCTTCCATTTGCCTTTGTTGTGTCTGATATATTTATTTCAATGAGCAACACAGATTAGACAAAGCATATTTATTATGATGTATTCGTCATATTTCTAAAGCTTAGCAATAAGAAAGTGCCATTTTAAAGCATTAAGAAACATATTTTAAGGTCAAAGGCGATGGAACGAAAAAAATCTCAGAACGTTTTCTCATCCCAAAGGAGAGGAAGACAAACTGTATATTGCCCCGTGATATTTTCAATGTGCTTAAAAACAATGTGAAACAATTTATACCTAATTATTTAATAATTGTAATTGCAATAATTAGCCTTTTATTAACTATCTAAAATCACTGTAGTCGGAGTAGTTTAAAGAGCTATTACTTATTAATAAAATTTATCCACACATAAAACATTTGATAATAAATATATTGAGGAATTATTATCAAATATTTAATTATTATATATTAAGGAAATTGAATCTTATTTACATTGGATTCATTATTCAATACTAATCTGTTAAAGTGTTTAGTATGCGTAAAATTTATACTTGTAATATATTCCATGAAATAAATAAAATATATATATATATATAATATATAATATATATATATATATTGAATTAATATAGTTTCTTATCAGAATGCCTCCCCTTCCTCCAAAAAAAGAAGGGAAAAGTATCATTGAAAGCTTCCATTTCTTTCAATTTCAGTTGGAAGTTAATTGATACTACTATATGATTCATTATTGTAATCGTTATTCTAAAGAAATATATAGTTTAATAAAATTTCACATAAATGTTAGGAAAAAAAATAACGGTCTTCAAGAAACTGATTCCAATAGTATAAAGATTCAATGAATTCAAAAAGGAGTTTAGATGCCTTCTATTCCTGTCTGCTCGTCACCTCAGCTTAAAAGTTTTAAAAGGAGCAAAAAAAAAATATTAAATGATATAAAATTTCAAATAATATTTTTCTTAGTAAATTTCTTTAAATATAAAACTATTACTGGGATATTCTAAATTGGTAAACCCTGAATATACTTTCATAATCCAACTTTGACCGCATGCTTTGTTCACAGTCACCGAGTCATCACTTTCTTTTTACAGTAAAAGGCAAAAAGAAGGTAAATATTTCTGAAGTTCCGAGCACGCCAAGTGCTACAAAGAACATTTTCCAGATAAAGGCGTACAGAAGAAAAGAATTCCATTTGCTTTAGAGCATTTGTGATTATTTTCTGCCAAACTAATGCACAAAATAAAACAAAATGAGATGAGTGTGATTATTGTATGATATGTTTGAAAATATCAATTTTATTTTTAAATGTTGATCAGTACATTAGAGTTATATGTACTTTGTGAATAAAGAGTTGAAATTCTTTTTAAATTTTGGACTTGGTTTACTAATCGAGAAATTTTGCCTGCAGCTCAGCATCACATACATTTTAGACAAATTGTGGTAAAAGCTTACAGTAGTACTTATTCTTTGCTGTAAGCAATGCAAAAGTAATACTGTCATAAATGATTTTAATAACAACAATACTTTTACATTAACTTATATTTTATAATGAAGGAATTTAGAATTTTGATGAGACGTTGAACAAAATTTATTTCATTTACTAAACGCATAACGCGACATAAAATTCTAACTTTAATGCGCAGTAGTCCCTCAAGTTTCCCTTCTAATTTTGTTATTTTCACTTTCTGTCCTAAAATATAGTAACATACTTATAATAAATCTCTCTAAATTGCGCCGTTTCAAAATTAAAGTTTGCTTATAATTTTTATGCAATATTCTTGACGCATGTACTTACATAATGCAAAAATTCTTTGAGCTAATAATAATGTTAAATTTTACATATAAACACCTTAATTAATCAATAAAAATAAAGTGGAACTATAACTTCATTAAATACAATTTATTAAAATCTAATGTGTACACCATATGACTTCCTTGTACGGAATATTAAATTATACGTAATTTTCCTGCACTTCATTTAAGCGACACTTCGGCGTTAGGTTAACTTGACAGTGTTCCATCTCATTCATTTTACGACTCAAAGTGCACAAAAATTATATCGCCTGAAGAATTACTACAAGTTCTATCTAAATACTATAATAAATTTAAAACGATGTATAAAAAATTAAATAAATAAAAAAGAAACAGTTTTCACAGACGATGCAGCGCCGCTTACCTAATGCGCATGCGCTCCTAATTAATTCAGTTCTCACTTCGCGGCAAGGCAGAAATATGAAAAAAATTCAAAACGTTTTCACTAAAAATTGAAAGGCATAGAGAAACATAAAACACCAAGTACAGTTAAAACAATTAAAAAAACAATTTTTACAATTAAAATTACAGTTTCTACACAAAAACAAGCTAGTAATTTAAATGATAATTCCAGAATGAATTAACCATAATTTAATTCGCAATAATAAAAGAAGACGTGATTTTGTTTTTGCGAAGCTTAGTTATCTAGATTGGCAACAAGTTCATTATTCTGCTAAGTTTCAAATGTAAACAAATATGGCTGCTATGGTAAACAAAAATTAGGCTTAACCGCAATTTAAAACTTTTAAATTGTTGATAATTCCACAATTATTGCATGCAGGTTAACTAAAGGTATAGAAACCTTAACCGAAAGATAAGAACAACATAATTTAATCATTTTTAAAGCAAAAAAATGCACAATTTACTAACATATAAGAATAAAGAAACTTAACTGTGTAACAGAGTGGATATACTATATATATATTTATATACTTTTGATGAGGCGATTGCAACCAAAATAGAAGGTGCACATCAACATGTTGTAGCAGTATTATATATAAAATTTCAACGTTCTAAGGCTACTCGTTTTGCGGTTTTGGGTCTGTACATACATACATGCGTACGTACGTACAGACGCTACGAAAAAATATCTTTAAGAATTCATTTTAAATCAATTTTTAAAATTTGTTTGGGAAAAAAAAGAGTCATTTATTCTCTCCTTATGTACAGATGTCACCCAAAAACATCGTTAAGTTGTATTTGATAGCCGACAAGGATACTATTTTCGTTGAAATATGATACCCGAAATTTTTCGAGATTACAATATTTCCTTTTTACGTCGTACAAGGAAGTAATAAATGACTTTCTTCTCAATTTCTTCGCCCTGCTAGTACGTCGCCTCCGACTTATTCTTTACTTTAAATCTCTACAATTAAAAAATGAAAAATCTGTTTGTACTCGTATGTTCCTCATATTGCAGAAAAACGATAGCACTCAAAAATCATCATATTTTGAATTAGTCTTTCACCTCAACATGTGCACCTCTAAGACATTACTTTTCGAATCTGTTTTTGATTTATTTCATATTTTGTACGCATTTAATAAATTTTTTATTCATAAACTCAAGCGAGCAGTGGCAAAACTGTTCGAAATGGAATATTTTTATCTCCAATGTTCGAGACTGTTGCCATTTGCTGAAATGGTAAGTACTAGTTTTGAAGTTTTATTCAGCAAATTTCATTATTTAAAAGCAGTGTGTTGCCACTGCTTGAATTTAAATACTTTTATCTCCTACATGCCAGCCTTTTGCTCTTCACTAAAGACATTTAAGTTCCAAGTTTAATCTGGTATTCAGCAATACACTAAAAGATTTAAAAAGCAATGAACGCAGTTCTTAAAGACATTTTTAAGGAGAGAATTGGCGATTTTTTTTCAAAAGGTTCGCCAAACCATCGACATTTATCGTAATTAGGCAAACATTATCAATGTATTATTAAAAGAAACAATTGAAAATTTTAAAAAATAGTGATTAAAAATGAAATTTACAATTAATGCAATAATAGTACAAATTAACAATATAAAAATTATATGTTGAACATTAATGTATAATACATTACTGTTCTTTCCAAGTACACAGCGATCTGTTTTCGTTTAGAAAACATCATATAATTACACTCGGCTTTGCGCACATTAAACCTTATTTACGTATATTATACACATTATGGTACACAGTGATCATCTTCACTTTAAAAAATATCAGTGTATTTCATAAATTCGGCACTGCTTACATTAAACATTAGGTAGGTCATACGGTATTTTACCGTTGTTCTAATACCCCCAATGTGCAGAAACATTCCGCAATTTTATTAATTCCGGTTATAATAATAATAATAATCCAAAATAATATCATTATGGAACGACGAAAAATAGGGTTAGAAAGAGAAAATCATTATCTAACATGGAAATCGCCCTGCGCAAAATGTCAAAACGAATCGCCGAAACAATGGAAATCGCCAAATTTCGCGTGCAAAATTCTTCATTTTAGCCAATTTGAATTTTAATACTTTCATAATTCAATAACAATCGCTTCATGAAATAAAATATTCAATAGCCTTCATATTGAAACGTGCAATAAAATGAAGACAAAAAGAAATGACAGATAAGTAAAAGCAGTAGTTTGCAAACTACATGATTACCAAATGTTTTTTATAAAGTTACACCAGCTGGACTCATTAAAATCATTAAATATTTTTAGCCCAAAGGGCAATTTTCCCAGAAGGGCTATTAATTTCGTTTTTGCATTTTGCGTTGATTCACTATAAACGGCGAACCAGTTTTTAAATTATTGCCCACCAAATATTAGAGCCCTGTATTATATTGAAAGAAATTCAATAATGAAAAATCTGCATAAATGTATGTATGTTTCTCGCATTGTGATAAAATAACGGTACCTAGAACCATCAAAAGTTGAATAACGTAATCCTCCACCCAAATATGGGCATCTGGAAGCCCAAATTTGGAGTTTGTTTTATTATCTACTTCATATTTCGTAAAGCATTATGAGTTTTTGATTAAGAAACTCAAAGATTTCAAAGCGAGCTATGGCAACGCTGTATGGAGGGGGGGGGGATATCTCCAGTTCGCGGAACTGTGTATTGGAAATTCTAATGACATGCTCATTTTAAAATTACTTTGCAATATTGCTGCTGAAATTAATTTTATGGTTTAAGAGCAAAGACCATGATATTTAATATATAAAGGTAACACAAAACGTTAAAAAAACGCGCTTTTAGGTGTAATATAAAATCTGAAAGCTTTCAGATTTTTTTTTTTTTTTCTTTTTTTAATAACATTTTTAAGGCAGCTGACCACTCAGGGCAGTAAAAGTGTGAAAAGTACTAACGTTATCACTGAACAGCGGGCTCGTATTTTGCACCAAATATGTTACTCACATTCCCATGCAGTTTTATTACTTTGGTATCGCAATCCAATTTTCATGCAAAAAAAATTCATGGGACTAAAAATATTTTCTCTTTTTTATTGATGCAAACAAAGCTACGAGTTGGTTTATGTGCAATATTTTAAGCTATCTGCTTTATATATATATATATATATATAACACAAAATCTATGAAATTCTGTGAATAAAATTGCTCTCATAACAGTGTGCTTTTCATAACATTGTGCATAGCAATGCTCTTCTTTTAATCTATTAAAACAAAAAAATAATACTTCTTCAGGCTGCCACTTTTTTCCTAAAACACAAATTCTATGAATAAGCTCTCCCTTTTCGTTTCCTGAACTAATATTTAATTTTAAGTTACATACAAATTTAAATACTCCGCTTTTCATTTTGTGCACGACGTCTGAAGTTGCATGAAATATAATCTTGATCTTTAATATTGAATATCTCAGTCAATTTTTGTCTTATGGGAGTAAAACAATTTGTGTATTACTTTTTATACTGAACATAAACTTTTATTTAATACAACTGTAAAGACGGGAGTAATAAACCATTGTTTTAAATATTGGACAGGAATAGATGAACAATTTTCGTCAGATCTGGAGTCAGAAGGTTGTGTGTTCATATCACGTCCGGGTCACCAATTACGGCAGGTTGGTTCTGCATATTCATAAATAAGCTAACCGTATTCTGTTAATCACATTTATTTATTTGAATTATATAGCGGAAGAGCAGAGCATGCTACAGAAACATATCACGCCGCATTTCTGCACGCTAGCGATAACAGCACAGGCACGAAGAAAACTAGGTTTCGGAGTCGCTCAATCTCTCCTTCCAGGAAAGGTAATAGTTCCAGTAATGTGCGTTTCTATCATAACCGTTTTGGTGATAAGGGGCGCAAATGTGTTAAGCCTTGCGCTTATCAACAGCAAAAAAACCTCTAACTCCCGTCAAAGCTGGGATGACGGAAGTATCCAAAAAGCCTAGTCGGTTATTTCTTCACGACAGGAAGACTGGCCAAAAATTTTTGATTGATTCTGGTAGTGAGGATGTCAGTGTTACATCTTTCCCCTAAGGACAAAAGAAACTTTTGTGAAACATTTGCCCTTTTTGCTGCCCACAACTCTAAAATTCCTGCATATAGATTTGTACAC